AGCAACACTGGATACAAAGTCAATACATATACAAGGAAAACACAGAGCAGAGATACCTCAGACTTTTTATTTTAATTCTCTCTATATACGAAGGTACATTGAGGTATTATGGATTTAGGAATAAATTACTCAAATTGGGAACAGGATTCTAATAAATAATACATAATCAGGAACCACCAGGGAAGTTCTGAGAAAGTGTAACTTTGCTCTTGGCAGAAGAGCAGCAGACCTGGAAAGACACATCTTGATGAATTATGTGGAAGTGACATAGATGAAAATGTAACAGGAACGACTGATAGGAAGTACTTGGTTTTGAAGGGAATGAATAAACAGATATTTCCACAGCAGCAAACTATGAGATATCTGAGAACTGAGAGGAAATGTCCAAAGAAGGGGACATGGTAAGTACTCTCAAGAATTTCCAAACCTATCATAGTTGGCATTAATGAACCAGAAAGGTTATGCCCACCACAGTCCTCATTTTTTCATCAGTCTGCAAGTCTGGATTACTACTCTCACTGCAAAAATTGGCTAATGTCTCCTAAAAGTGCAAATATTCACAATTCTCTAAGAATCTAGTTTGCATATGCTCCCTTCAAGATCAGGCATTAAGTAGATTCCACAATTACTACCTACAGATGGGAAAAACATAGAACCTCTTTTGTTTACAAGAGGACAAAAAAAAAAAAAGAAGTCAAAGTTCACAAAATAAGGATTATTATAGACACATGCTGCACATTATGAGTAGATATAAAAACAATATTTGAAATCATAGAAAATTATACCTCCTGACTAGGGGACTAAGTTGAATGAAATAAACATTTTCCCTGGCATACAAACAATCACTTGCTATATAAGAAAATCACTTTTTACATTTGACATTTTAGGAATTTTGGGGGGACACAGTGGTAGTTTTCACAAAAAGTTATGCAAAACACACCAAAATGCATCATTCAAATACTGGTACCTACCAACATTCCAGCAGCTCTGACTATTGTCACTCCAGTTTTCTGCTTGTCCTCAAGCACTTCTTGAAAGCATCACAAACTTTAAAAAACTGAGTTCCAGGAAATGGAACTTCTATTCTGACTGACCTTTCAGCAAATTATTTTCAAACTGGAGATAAACCAGTACTTCTCTAAGTGTGCCTCGAAAAAAGGGCAAAAGATTTCATGCACCATCCAACAGACTTTGAACCACTATTTGTCATACAAATGACAGCCAGCTTCATGATAGGGTGGAAAAGAATTAAAGACATGGAGGTAACTACTTATCTTAAATGTTGCATCTACAAACACAAGATTTGTTTCACAGCATAACATAAAATCATCACAAAAAATACCAATGTGCAAAAGTGCAAGAGGAAGCATTTAACTGAGTTCCTGAGTACTTTCCTTTTTGTGTGACACTCCCAGTACTGTTCTGTCTCAGCAATTACACTCCTTTGGCTTCTTAAACCATGGAAAAGAATTCAGCACATAATATACACATATGCTCTTTATACAGAGGAAAACTTCAGGCCACACATCCTTAAGGCACAACCTTAAGGGTTAACCAAGAAGAAAAAAAGCAGCTCAGCCCAGGAAAGGATGCAACTGAACTACAGAATTAAATACTTCTAGTCCTTGTCTTTCTTCATTCTTCTTTTACATGAATCAAAATGGAAAATATGAGACCAACATAATTAAGGGCCACAGTAAAATATATCCCCCTTAACTACATTCAAGCATGAAAACACTACACAGAATGTCCAGTTGTACCTCTGATTAATATTGTTTAGTCAGGAAGACACAGAGGAAATCAGGAATATCATCAAGCCATAATTTAAGATGGAAATGTGTGCTCTGAGACTCACTTCACATATATTTTAATCCCTCCCCATCCAAGAACTCCTGCTTCACACTGTTTAGAAGACAGTAAGGAAAGAGATCATCAAGATAAGGAAAGAAAAGTGCAAGATAAATGAAGGGAAAATGATTTATCATAAATGTGATTTTGTGCAGGTATTTAACGCTTTATTTTACTTTAATACACAGATCATTGACTGCTTTAAGAAGAATAAAAAAATCTATCTCGAAATCTACCTTTATATAGTCCCATTTTTAACATCATCTACTTTGAATAGTGAGAGAAATTTCTGAGTATTCAAAAACAATTAAAAAGTTTTATGATTGAGTTTTCCAGCATGTATTTTCACACAGCACGTGAGTCAAACCACAAAACCAAAGCTGGTGTTGTTTTCAGAAGGCAACATCAAATGTTTGTGTCTCAGAAAAAAAAATAAGGATGAAATTTGTGATTTCCCAACTTGTAATAAACTCATAGGGGTTTTCCAATGACATTTTCTGATATCCTCAAAAGCTAGGAATGTAAAACTGACGTGCACAGCTTTCCTAAAAATTCAGTGTATGACATCAATTTTTGGCACAGAGGAGAAGAGTTCTCTTGTCCTGTTCATTGATTAAGGATATCAGGACACTGGAGCCCTTGAATAAGTCACAAGAATGCCTGGTTTGCTTTTTCAAATGTTGGCATCATAGAATCACCAGATGGTCTGAGTTGGAAGGAACCTTAAAGATCATCCAGTTCCAACCCCCCTGCCATGGGCAGGGACACCTTCCACTAGCCCAGGTAGCTCAGAGCCCCATCCAACCTGGCCTTGGACACTTCCAGGGATGGGGCAGCCACAGCTTCTCTGGGCAACCTGTGCCAGGGCCTCCCCACCCTCACAGGGAAGAATTTCTTCCTAATATCCAATCTAACCCTCCTCTCTGTCAGTTTGAAGCCATTCCCCCTTGTCCTTGTAAAGGACCTTTACAGGTCCTTGGAAATAAGTCTCTCTCCATCTTCCTTTTAGACTCCCTTCAGGTACTGGAGGGCCAAAGAGATTAGGAAGAAAGCATGAGAAAGGATTTATCACATGAGATAAAATGGCAGGAAATTTAAAAGGAATGGGAAATGAGAACAAAAAACTATGTGGGTTGACAATTTTTTTGTGGGCTTTAAACTTTGAAGGCAAAATACTGCTTGTAAGGCAAGAGCATTAGAAGGGAACAAAAAAAAGATGTGATGTTTGCTTAGAGAAGATACTTGCAGTGTGTGACTTCTGCTCCACCAAAAAAAATTCTTTACAGTGATAGAAATACTCATAACTCTCCATGTAAAGGTGGCTATGCATGTACAATCCCATAACAGAATATTAAGCTATTTGGTGTGTAAACATTAGCAGTAATGTCATCAATCTCAAATCACCCAACAAAGTGATTTGAACAAAAAGAAATGTTAAACAAGCACCAAAACATACATTTAAGAATAGATGTATTCAAAAAGAATAAAACCATACTACCCATTTCTCAGATCTCTTCCAACAAAGATTTATGAGTGAACAAAATTTGCCAGTATAAATCCCACTTATTTAAACCTGATAGTTCTACCACCAATACCCACAATTGTCCATTTGATTAGGCTTCAAAATCCCAGTCTCATGTAACAATTAAATGTGAAAAACCTTAAATTAGTTGAATGAGAAATGACTTGGAAGTTTGTGAACAAAATTTATACGTATTCTGAGATTCAAAGGGGGTGTTAAATGTCGACATGATGTGAACTGGACACTGTTATGTCACAACTACTCTCCTATCCTAAGACCACAACAGTTCCTTTACATTGCCGGTTCTCCCCAGGTAAATCTGAACCTCCTGAACATGTTTACACATTTCTGTCCCTCTTTTGGGTTTTGATGCAAATGTAACAGATCACGGGTGCAAATTTTAGCTCAATCTATACGTACACTCTCAAAAGTCCTCCTATGACACTTCCAGATTTCATGAGATTCACTGCTTTTTAACATTCAGAAAGTGACACCAAGCCAGTAAATGATATGTTCATTTGAATAACACAAAACATTTTCCTAAAATTAATTTTTCCTTGCTTTTAAGGCATAGCATTTAATAACTGTAATTCTCTGCAATAAACTCCTCATTCACGATGGAGTAGATTTCTCCAGATTATTACATCTTTCCTCAATACTGTTTACACAGATGCTTTTATATTTAATACATGCCTGCATTAAAAGTTAATTGGTATGGTCAGAGCAGTTGCATGGTCTTGAAACACTTTTGGAAATGATGGAGTGCTTCAAGTGGACTTTTGATGCATTTAGATCTGACATATGCCAAGAAAATAGAAAAAATATTATCCTTTGTATTTTTAGCTGAACTGTTGCTAACAGTACTTAAAAGGTAACTGTGAATTGCAATGTAAACAACTTCAGGGTGCTATTAGAATATTAGCTTTTTCTTTCTTTTAAACTTCTATACTAATGGTCATTATTATTTTGATTCAAGAGCTGTACTTAAGTCAAACCAAGATCCTATTGAGAGTAAAACAGCTTTACACTGTTCAGATACTCAACAGCAATTGATGTGATTTCAAACACTTGCTATGCAGTGTATTTTTACTCAAGTCATGGTAAGTGAACCAATTTACACCTATTATATATATAGAATATAATATTTCTGGATATTATATAATTCCTCATAGCTAGCTTTTAATTTTTTTAGATAAGATTTCCATGAAATAAAAATGGGGGTGGACAGCAGATGTTTGTGTCTGTCACCGAAGAACTATCAAAAAATTTGGATCAAAAATTCCTGCAAATCCCATACAATTTTAACTACATAAATTAAAAATGACTGCATGGTTTCTCTGAGACCACAGAAAATGGCAGCTGTTAAAGGAGTAAGTATTAAGTTGATCCGAGACTTTTTCTCAGTGCTAAACATTTTTGAATCTGCTCTAAGCAGGTTTCAGTGATACAGATGAGGAGTCCTTATTTATTTTGCATTTTTAAATACTTGTGTTTACTGGTAGGCTCAGGACTCGAGGCGAAAGATTGATTATTTTCTTTGGGGATCATATATGTTAATATTTTTTTCAAACAGAAAAGAGCTGAAACTGAGAGAAAATCACGAAGGTTTTTTGCATGTGCACATCCATACCTGAGCATTAAGAAGCTCTTCACATTTGTGAGAGTGTTTTTCAATTGCTAGTATATACTGCTTTTCAATAGCTGCTTCTTGCTGCTGAACTGTAGATTGTAGCAGTGCCTGCAAAAAGAAAGCACAGAATATTCAAGAAAGATATAACTGGGATGTTTATTGGTAACTGCAGATCCACTAAGACTTGTCCATAACCAGAATGTGGAATGCTGTTATAAATTTGGAATGTGCAACTATTAAAGTACCTTTCTGTGTAACACTACCTTATTTTCAGTCCGGACTAACATTTTTTGGATCTCAGATTTCTTATACAGACTGCCTAAAAGACAGCAGCACACAGAAGATAGAGAGGGAGAGTATTTCTGTTAAATATACTCAGTTTAGTGGGACCACACAAGAAGAGAAGCTTATGAAAGCTGCTGAAGAAAAAGAAAAAAAAAAAAAAGCCAGACATATTTCCCTGGCTGACAAAACTCCACATCCTCTCGGCACTGTGTAAGATCCCATGGGCCAAGCATGATCTTCACAACCACAAGTCAAGTAAAAGCAGATGGAAATTCTGAGTAACTGAAAACATAAAAGAACGCCCCCCCAGGATGTTCACACTCCAATGTGAAGCAGTGGAAGTCGAAGTGTGGAGAGTCAAAGCTACCAAGGCAGTCACAGAGAGATGCTGCGATGGGGAACTCTGTGTGCGAGCACGTGTGTGTGTGTGCACGTGTGTGAACTCACACACGCCTGGCTCAGCTCTGCAGAGCTTCTGAACGCAAAAAGAGAGAGACAAAAAATTTAAGACACGCAAAAAACCAAGTTACTGCTTGAGGAATTACGCTCACGGTGCTGTTCTAACGCGGGACTTACCCAACTCGTGCCACACAAGTCTTTTTCCCTGATATTATAAAACATCCACGCCACTTTTCAAATATTCTTCAGGCTATTTATGCACAACGTAGCAAACTATTTTTAACTAGTAATCCATACAGAGGAGTAGTCAAAATGACTGTGTAAGTTAAAACAGACGTAAGTTTTGCAGAAAACAGACCTTTGGCCTAAATGCAGACGAAGAAAAAAAAAATCGCATCTTTCAGGTAGTCTTTATTTTAGAGATATATTTCATTCATGGAACACAAGACACACATTAAATAAAATTTTGTATACTTTTAAAAAAACAAACAAAAGTGTATAAAAAAATAAAATCTTCTGACAATTTTTGAACTAACTTTTCAAATTTTCCACTAACTGCCCTCCTTACACTGTTCTTCAGTCATGTTATAGTATGGCAGCAGTTTTCAGCACAAGTTCACTGATTTAAAAGGTTAAAAATTGTGCTTAACATATACTTTAATCAAAGTGTAAGAATACACTGACTGGTGTTTGCAGGGGATTTCTCTAACCATAGGTTTACTTTCAAAAAAAGCCAATTTATTTCCAACTAAATTTATTTCTTTCATTGATAGAAATTCGAGCAATCGGAATAAACTCACTTCTCAAAGAAGTACAACTTCTATATATGAAACTTTAGATACTAAATCTCCCTCTGTATAAAATAGAATTGCCACATATCACTGGTACAAATTAAGCCTGTACTTTGGGGTATGGGTTCTTTTTTTGCCAAAACTATTGTGGCAAGAAATGTTTCATGTAACTGGTACAAAAGAAAATAAAAAATTCTGATATTAGGCAAAACAGTAACAGAATTGTCATTAAGCTGCAATGGCATTTCTTGCTCATGCCAAGGGTTGAGTCACTTTCTGCACTTTGCTATGTAAACTTTACTGGCAACTGTTAAAATCCTATTAAATGGCATAAAGAACTTTCAGTTTTCAAGGAAATAATTATTATTCATTGGATGGCACGTAGAGGTTGTTAAATTTTTAAATTTAATTTATTATTACTATTTTTCTTTTTAGAAACAAAAGCCTTCTTTTTCTATCATACACACTAGTAACACAGTTTAAATAGTACCACAGGACCGATCCTTTATTTGACTATTCCACTTGTTGGCCAAGTAAGGAGGAGGAGAGAAAACTCCTCCTATGTAGCACAGTGTTTCCAAGAATCAGGTTTCTTGATGAGAAATGCAGAAGAGGGGCAAGATATCCATCCAAAGCTTTGGAAAATTTCAAGATAATCAACTACTCCAATTACTAATTAAAAAAAAAATAATTTACTGATTTACCCACTGAACTAAAACATACATTTGGCTACTCGATGATAGGCATCTCTAATATGAGAGTTACAACTTTCTTCAATGCAATGACACTAAAATCTTGTCATTAATTGCTATTCTGGGCAACTACTCAATGCTGAAGAACCACTTTCTTCCTTAATTAATTACATGACTATCCTGGTGGGCTGATGTTCCAGAAACCTATGGCCAGTGACCTGATATCAAGCTGGCATTCTTGAAGCAGACTCCTTTTAATGGCTCACTGAATCATTTCAATAAGGTTACAGCAGAATGTGGCCCATGGCACCTGTTGCATGAAGTCAAAAGGTAGGATTTCAATATGGGTGCTCTTGTTAATTAATTAATCCTTCTATGTACCGTGCGATGAACTTCCTTGGCACTGGGTGGCAAGGGTCATCACAGAATCACAGAATCATGGAATGTTAAGGGTTGGAAAGGACCTCAAAGATCATCTCATTCCAACTCCCTGCCATGGGCAGAGACACCTTCCACTAGACCAGGTTTTTCAGACCCCAATCCAACCTGGCCTTGGACACTTCCAGGGACAGGGAAGTCATAACATGCTCCTCTCATCTTAACAGGACTAAACCCTATTGAATTTAACAAAAAAGAAAAATTAGGAGCCTTCATACTGCCTCAGTCCTGACCTTCACAAAGCTCTTGAACCATTACAGATGAAGCCAAACTAAAATTTCAGAGATTTGTTGATTATAGTTCTTATTCTAATATCCATATCCCGTGGGTTTTGTGAGTTAAGCAGCCTTTACAGTGCAAGGAATGACAATATTTGAATTGTAGAATGTGTTAGAACCTTGTAGATCCTTGCAAGAGTGGGAGGTGGAACATATTCTAGTGCCTGTAAACAATATGTTTTAGTTGTATGACAAAGTAATTTAAATGTTAGAATTTATTTGGGAGAAGTTCTATGTTCTACTTGCTATTTTACCACTTGGAAATTATTCATATTCCCAATGCACATTATACTCCATCACCAAACTGTCTTGGGTTTTCTGTTCATTGTTTCTGGACATATATTCATGACCAGCTCTGGGGAGGTTTTTAAAGAACAAATTCACATTGTCAACGGGAAAGCTAAGGAGTAACACATGGATGCTCATATTTAACAGGAACAGTGGGGCTGCTCCCAGAGAATGGCCCAAATAACAGGACTTGTAGGACAACAATGACAGCAAATCAAGTCATCTTCTAAAGCTTCAACTATCAGAAACATTTTTAGCCACTCAAGAAATCCTCTTTCTTCCCCCCTCCTAACCCAAAAAAGCTATCAGAGAATTGATCCTGCTTTTCCTTCGATACTCAAAAATGCCTGGTGGCTTCTCACAGAACAAAGAGACTGAAACAACTTAAGAATAAGTTGTCTACAGAGTCTTCATATTCATTTTAGTTTGATGTGTATAAAAATCACAGAAATCATTATTTCCTCAAACTGTTATAAAAATCTTCCCAGATTTAAATGACAGAACAAAATATTTTTAAATTAAACCAAGTAAACTACGTAAATTAGTCTGAACCTGTTTGAGCTCAGATAAAGAACTAACCTTATCTTTAAGTTTCATACCTTAGAATAATTGTAGAAGACCCTGAATTGAAACTAGATCCAGCCATCATAATAAGATCCATAATCACCTTGGGGCATCCTCAAGGGAATAAACATCTTTTAATTACATGCTTTAGCAATGGGCAGAGAATTAAGTAGCCCTGGAATGTAATTGACAGCACACTACCTGTATGATGGGAATATTAGAGACCTGCATCCCTGCCTGCAGACCAGAGAATAAAACATTGTACTGTACCCAATAGGAGAAGAAAAGCTTAAATATCAGAAAAGACAAATCACAAAAATTTATCCCGTATTTCTACAGGCTGTGTCATGTCTCGGGTACAAGATCATCTCCAAAATTTGTCCTCATACTTGAAAAGGCAGAAGTGCAACGACTGTGGTTTTGCTGAAACCATGGCACAGACCCTCCAGCCCACTTTTAATACAACCCTATTTGCAGAGCCCTAGTGCATACTGTCTTCATTCTACTGGGAATTGAAACCACAGCTACTTACCCAGAGTTTGTTGTATGGCCAGAAGCTACAATTTATGAGAATCCTTCTTGAATTAAACAGCCAAAATAGAGACTGTTACCCCCAATTCTTCCCAAATTCCCTAAGAGCAACAAATTACCAAATCTCTTTCTTTCAACTCCCTCTTTTTATTGGAGAAAAAAGCTAGCGCGGAAAAAAAGTCAAGAAGAAAAACAAAGTAGATTTTATTACCCCCTCTTATCTGTTCTGAAAAACAGTATAAAAGAAACTCTGACCCATGCAAAACACAGGCCTCCCAGATGCACAGCATTGTTTGAAAAACCCACATGTAACATCAGTATGAAACCAGCATCGTGATGTACATGCTGCTGGATTATGTTCTAGAATGCTACTTAAAAGCACTGTATCAAAACCCTTAGTCAATCCAAAAGAACATCCTGCTCAAGCATCATTAAGTTGCTCAAATAACTAAATATAAGCCAGGATATCCAACATCTTCTTTACTTCAAAACTGCTGAGTCAGGGTGACCAAAACAAGTTGCCTTTAAAAATAAAATTACTAATGAGAAGTAAAGTTACCATACTGCGTCAAACATATGAACTATTTTAAATGTCAGCATTAATTTCAGCAATAGTACATAAGAATTTTTATGCTTCATAGCATTAGACAATGAGTCATCTAATTCAGCAACCTGTCTCCACCAGTAATTACTTTCTACTACTTTATTTAAGGGTGAAATGCAGTTAATCACTTGCTGAATGAGAAAACAGGGCAGAGGACACAACTGAAATTCTTTCCTGACCTGCAGAAAAGATACATTACCTCAATAAAAAAATGTACACTTAACTAGTTGTGTTATAATTCAGCTATGAGCTGGGACACAGACTACATAAATAAAACTATTTAAAAGATTCTTGAAAATGTCTTTTTCGACAGAATTCAACTTATCCACTTCATTCACATTTTCACCATTGGGCTATTTCCAGGTGAGACTCCCTTCAAGTGAAAATGAAACATGTCCATTTAGGTGCTGTGGATTAAAGGGGGTAAAATACAAGAAAAAGGCAATGTGTTTTTTGCAAAGTGGTATAAAAATCCCAGATTCATTTTCAACTGCTTGTGGTATCCCAGTAAGGATCAACAACCCACACTTTGAACACTATGATGGGTTTGTCTACATAGCTCAGTTTTATTGACATGTGAGTGTAAAGGATTTATTTACCACAAAACACTGTTCTCACAGACTCCTGACAGAAACAAACTGCAAACTCACTCTTAATCAAACCTTTCTATTATTATACTATTTAACACTCTATTTATTGTTCTGTGGTCATAAACACATGTTAAAGTCATCCTTACTAAAAGGGGAGGGAGAGATTTCTTGCAATTTTTATAACTACTTTGAAAATATAAAGATGTCTCAATCCATAATAAAATATTTTTGGTAGCCAGATCTTTGGAAGATTGAGACTTGATTGCACCTCGCTTTTATCTGAATTCTGTAGAGACTTTCATAGTACATCACTGATATACAGGAGTACTCCCATACTGTCAAAATCACAAGGAATCTCTCCTTTTCCAGCCATCAGCTCTTCATGACAAAAACCAATGTTGTTTTATATTCAAGGCTCACTTGAATTCTGGTGTGACTTGCACATGAACAAGCTTAGAAGTTGGAAGTGAAATACAAACCCTTGCAACAACTTTTGAATTTATCCTTTTATTCATGTGTCAGTACTTTCTGAGCCAGGATGTCAACTTGGAAACTTAATAAGCTAAGCTGATGTTTTAAAGAGCTGAGAACTGGCCACATTTCAGAGCTTTCCCTCACTAGGGATAAACTATGTCTAAAAAAAGATATCCTGATTCTAGATTAACTTCTTTTGTAATGAAATCTTTTTAAATTTCCTTTGTTTATTAGAGGGTAACCTTTCAGTTCAGAGGTCTGTTATTGACACAAATATTTTTGAAAGACAATCTGATTGCCCCCACATATTCCATACTTTGCAAATCTGGAAATCTGAAAAAACCCCACCACCTAACACTGAAAACTGACAGACAAAACTCTTACTGCAGCAAGGGTTGGAAGGAACTTTGCATCTTAAAGTTAATTTCTATAAAAGGAAACACACATCTGATTCATGCAAGCAGTCTTTTAGAAAACTAATAATTGCCTAAAATAATCCAAGGAAATAAAAATCATCTAATAAATATACCTCCCTGTAACCTCATATTCTTTAAAGCTTACATTAGAGGATATTTTATATGGTGAGAAATATAAACAAAACAGATTAAAACTCTTAACTCCTCTATTTACAGAACTATGACAATTTCAGAACAACAGCCTGACTAAACAAGCACAGAAGAAATTCTTATGTTGCTTGTGGTAAATATCTTAAAATGTGACGTGATCCCACAAGCATAATTTCCAAGATCTACATTTACTTTTCTTTACTGTGGTTAATTACCAGGGATAAAAGTTTAAAAAAATAATGACACGAAGGACAGAAATTAAACAAAATTAGGTAAACATGAAAAGGGGAAACTTGGCCTACACAGAACACTGAGTTAATTTTAATTGTTTTTCTGTGTTTTTAATACAAATTTTGTGACTATGTTGTAAGTGGTTTATTTGTTGAAAGAAAGATAAGAATGTGAGATGTTTAACAATAGCCAAGGCTTTTGAGGGTTTGTGCTACAAAACATCTCATGGTCTCTGTTAGTGGATTTCCCAACACACTGAGCAAGTGAATATTCCAAAGACAACTGCAATAATTCTAAAGGGCTTTGGTACATCCAGGTCCTTGAAACAAGATCATTCCGTGTTTGGCTGCTTGTGTAAGCTGCATTTTCAACACTGCTGCCATGTCAGGAAGGACCTACAGCAAGGGTAGGAATTGAGAGCATTTGGCTTCAAACTTGAGTGCCTGATCTGCCTGGGGATGCCACACCAGTGAAAGATCTGCGTGGAGAAATCCTGTTCCTTTTACAACAAATCATTGCCCCAAACACCAGGAAGTTACTATCAGAAAGTGTGACCCATTTTCAAACATAGAAACATCAGAAGTCTGCTGCACTACGTGTGTAAGGAGTGCAATCAGCTCTAAAAATGGAAGAAAACTGAGTTTCTGATTACTAACTTGGCAACCTTGTGCACAGAAGTGAAACAAGGGCAACCCTCTTTCCCTTTGTGCACCAAAGTAAAGGCACTTTCACAAATCTCCCAGCAGCAACACTTGTCTATGCCAGGAATACAGAAAACCCAAGTCAGTCAACTTTTTTCCACTGTTGTTCAAGTTTCAATACCTAAGTTAGAGGATTTGGAGTTTAAAGGATTCTGGGGATTATTTCCTGGGGCTAATGATGAGCAGGTCATGTTTTTACACAGCTACCCTTAACCAATGTTGGGCATTACATTCAGTCAACTCTGCTTGGAGAAGCATGACAAAAGTATAATTGACTGGTATCAGAGAGGATTAGTCAAAATTCCAACAGTCATGACTGCAACAGAACCCAATTTGGGCCTGAGCAATCCCTTGATTGGAATAATCTGCATCAGTTCATTTTACTCAACCCCAAGGAATGCAAAATAAGACTGTGTTCACTTCCCATACCTTTTAAACAATTCAGTAGACTTGCTTAGGTGAATTTCTACACTCAAGGTAATTTTGGGAATGATTAAGTAGTACTTACAAAATCTAAGGAAAATGGAAATCACTTCTGCTTATAAATGATATGTATTAGTGTAACACAGCCTTAAATCCTCAAGAAGACATATTTTGGCCTGAAATTAAGTATGGCGAATTATTAGTAAATTAAAAGAGTCAATGAATCTCACAATTATGTATTTCACTGAGAGGACTAATCAGATTAACTTTACATTCTTAAACAAATGCTACTACATGTAGGACTCCTTACTTGGTTATCTAACTAACTGCTGACATGTCTGAAAAACAGAATAAATTCCTAAAGATATAAGCATTTAAAAAGTCCCACAAATACAAAATATTATTTTTATAATTACAAAAAGACATTTGACTAATTTATCTAGGGGAAAAAAAAATCTTAACTCTGTTCCATATTGAAATATTAACCATGAATTAACATTTTAAAATCATCCACGAGATTATTTTCTCAAACAAAACTACAGAACACCTTTTGCCTTTGGTGACTTTGTTGATGATTCACTACTATTTTTTTTTTTAAAGTACATGGTAAAGGGTTAATGAAAAGGTTATTAAAGTATAAACAACCAATATAAAAAGCTTGCTTTTTTTAAATCTAGCAATCTTTTTTGATTTTTCTTGCTCCCCTGAAGAATATTGATTGCAGTAATTTACTTGGAGGCTGGTATACCTGATATTTCTCATCAGAGTGTTCAAAATATGGCAACTAACCCCATGAGGCAACAGGAAGGCTTGTATGAAGTATACTCATGTCATGGTTCCCTGATATTAAAGAATGTCTTTATATAAGTTGAATATAAACATTCTATGAGAAAAAAACATACTAAATATAAATATTGTTTAGAAACACAGTATTCAATTAACTTTCTAATCTTTTGTGCCGAATCACCAAAACTGATAAACACAATCCTTTTTTTCCAGATGGAATATCAGATCTTCCCAGCTGCTGCTGACTGGCAAAATAGTTTTGAAAAATCCATATGGCACATAAATATATTCCTTTACCCAACTACACATGAAGAAATTATTCCTTAAAAGGGCCAATATCACCCATGCAAAACTCTTCCTTAGCTCACACAAAGGCATTAAAATGGTGAAAAATCATATCCAGAAAACATTCAAAACTTTTATTCAATACTACAAAAATGTTCTGTTTCACATTTTTTTTTTTGTATTTTCAGGGGGGGGGAAAAAAAAGGAGGAAACACAGGTACAGCAATTACCAATTGCTCACAGGCTTTTTCAAAATTCAAGTTCACCAAGAAACAGCCAGATATTTTCTATACATCTGGCACAGAACAGACACGAAAAATGCTGATATTGAAGATGTTCAATACAAAATAGCACAGTCCAAAGAAAATTTCCCTTGGAGAACTTCTATTGCAAGATGGTCCCCAAAGAAGTGAGGCAAAAGAAACATTCTCTTAAAGAAAAGAAAAACTCTCTTCAAGAAGTGAAATGAGGGAGTTATGGAGAAGTGGGACACCACCAGTGGCCATGCTCAAGTTTTCTCAGGAATGGAAATTTTGGAAGCCTTTTTCTGGATAGATTCCCTTCAGATGAAATTAGTATAAGTTGCACTGATGGACACATATTTGTGGAATTCTTACTGGATAGTTTCCAGAACAGAAGAAAAGACACAGATTTATCCATGGTAACACCCAGTTGGTTTATGTCACTAGAAACAACATGAAAGAATTACACATTCAGCCTTATTTCATCCATAACTCCTTCTCTTAGTGCTGCATTGATAAAAACCTGCTGAATTGCTCTGGGATGCTGCTTTCCTGAAAGTGCAGCTCTTGAGACTGAGGAGATCCAACATGTGGATCAGTGATAAGCAATCCAAACCAAAGTTCACCACAACTGACAGCATTTTTGGTTTGTTCTGGTTTTAAGTTTCCTTACTGAAAATGGCTAACCAACTTTAGCTGAAGTTTCCCAAAGTTTCCCAGGCTGAGAAAACATGTCATGCAGAATTTCAGACCAAACAGCCTAAATTGAAACAGAAGAGACAGTCTCAAAGTGAAAGAGGTTGAGCAACCAGCACAAGCAGGGTATACTAATAAGTATGTACTGCAGGAAGTCATATATGTTATTACAATGACATTATTTGAAAATTGTGTTGGCTTGGCAACTCATTTACCTTGAATTCTTCAACAATAATACTCAAGGCTTCATGTCCAGCTTTTCTCATGTCTTCTAATTCCTGCTTATGCTTTTCCTGTACAAAAACATGGAGAAGGTTATATATAACAGAAGCACCTGACATAACAATTATAATTAGGAGAGTAAATACCAATTATTTTTCTCATTTTTGGTATCTTTCATGAAGAAATGAACACAGCTTGACTCTTTAGATAAATATGTGCTACATTCAAGTAGGTCCCAGTATTAAACATATTTTTATCTCTTAATTTCAAGAAAGGAATCAAACGTGAGTTAAGAAGTTTGAAATTTAAGTAAAACCATCTTCAGAGGACTTCCACCCTCCTCTTGTGCCTTGTGATGGACAGAATATCACACAGAACACTGACAGTAATTTAACATAAGCTTGGAAGCAATTTAACATAAGCATCCTGGAGAGAATGAGGCATTGTGTGCACACAGTCAGTAATTATTGCTCAATAGTTATCAATGTTTCAATAGTTTTGATTTAGTGACTCTTATATGAGAAAACATGCCATTGCAAACAATTTATTAAAAAAAAATACATGCTCTAATTGCTACCAAATGCATGTACCTTCAGAGAGGTATCAAATAAAAACTTAAATTAGAGGGATGAGAAGGTGGCATCGAACTTTCAACAGCATCAAAAGAGTCTTGATACTACAAATTAGGGCAAAACAACCACAGCTACCTGAAAAGAAAGCAAGTGGCTGCATATCAAAGTATCTTTTGATAATTATTATATTGGACTCCCATTACAATGAGATTTTCATCTCCACAAAATCATCTTTCTTTCAAAGCATCATTTAAAAAAAATTGTAACATCCAGCATCATAATGACTCTGTTAATCATTATGATTAACATATCAATTGAAGATATATATATATTTCCATCAATTCACACAAGTATAGAGAAAAAACAATAATACTGAATGCAACAGAACTAAATCAATGAAAAACTGAGTTAAACATCATGACAATCAGCCCATAATGGCTAATTAATATACACACTAGAGTGTGCTATTGTATATAAAATGCATATTGGTCACTATTTCTATTCACGTGAAATAAGAGTGTGAGCTCTCCAGAACTAAAACACAGGGGTGTCTCCAGGTCTGTAGCAAAGCAAATATTTTCACTTTGGTCTTATCATCAACATCCTAGTGAAAGATACAGCTAAGAACTTAAAGATAAGGACAAATACAGGAAGGAGAGAAAGATTTCCCATTTCCCTATATAACCAAAAGCATGCAGTATGTAAAACCTTAAGCTCACCACAAGGAGGTAATATGATTTATTTTACACAAGTAAGTATCATTTATACCTGGACTATAACAATGGAAGACTTTGAAGTGAATAATGAAGTGAGGTAGCAAACAAACTTTCACGAGCAACTGCCTCACATAGTGGTGAAGACATTTCCTGCTGAGTTAGATCTGGGTTGAGCCAGAGTTGAGTGACTGTGAACACACCAGTCTGCTGGGAGATATTATGACTGATTAAATGTGAAAAACTATGCAAAGGAAATAGTACAGAAGAGCCTGTACATGCCCCAAACTGAAACATAATTACAGTTCCCATACCACTCTTCAAGTATTTGCAGTGTATGACAGGGATCTCTACCCTATCATATTTAAGACATTAATTTTCTGTGAAGAAAAAAAATATAATTTAAATCTGCTCTTTTTTTCTACAGGATGTGAACAGAGACTCTTCACTTTTCATAAGCTAAAACACCTGCAGAACAATCTGTTAATTAATACTCAGTGTTCTTAGTATTAATATACATTTTGCCAGCAAAACTGTCTGATATGGTAAATAGCACAGGGCACTTGGCTCAGAAGCTTTCTCTGTCTGCCTTCAGGTTTCTAAAATATTATACAGATAGTTACTTCTTTGGGATAAAGTCGCCAGGGCAATTTAGGCCCTGGATGCTTTCCTACTTTCCCATATAATCTAAGTGATGGGACATGATAGCAAGAGAAAGTAAGGAAGAAAAAGTGAACAGGGGAGCAATCCCAGGGAAGCTTCCACTAAACAACCCAATAAACATGAAAGGAATTTGTGCCTTCATTAGGATAGTCTCATGTCTCTTATCTGAAAAGCATCAGTCTTCAGATCGAATTAAATTCTACCATTGTTCATAAAGAACAAAATATTAATTTGGAAAGGGCTGCCAGCTGTCATCAATAGCTACTGATACTGAAGCCAGTTACAATACCCAACACAATTTTATATACTGCATGTATTTAAAAATATGTCAGTATGTATGTAGTTCTCTACTACAGCATACTTTATTACTATATATAAATATGTATGAAAAAACTACACTAGGAGAGTTTTCCTTCTTCCTATAAATAGGAGACCGGCCAGAAACCAGTGGTGTACCCAAGATATAAACGTTGGGTCTGATTCTGTTCAATACCTTCACTAAGGATCTGGATCATGAGGCAATGTATATTGTATTTTCATAGAGGTCTACTATTTGTAACACATAATGATGTTCATAGCACATTCCTAGAGGACACCTTCAGTTCCCCAAGATGACTACAGAGAAACTTGAAACTCAGTCCAGCATCTTCAAAAGCACGCAGGCAGAAATGTTATTTAAGCATGAATAAAAGCTTCCTAAGATTTAATTCTAGAAGACATAAAACAAGAACTCATAGCCTCACTGTATGTAAATACTCATTGTAAGACTGTAAGATTAACACACCTTTGAAATTTTTCCAATGTAAGAAAAGAATGATTTGTTTTCTTCCTTCTTTGTTTTTGTAATATAGAAAATTAGTTTAATTATAACATAAACAGTCCTACTTAGCACAAAATCAACAGAAAGAGAAGTTATATCTTTACATTTGAATCTTCTTTTCATTTTCAGTATCTGAACTATTTTCTTTGGCTGCCTCTTGATACAAAACTCCAGAAGCAAACAGTGGTGCTATAGTTACCCCTTCCTTGAATCTTCTTTTTTCTGGTTTGTAAATACATTTTAGAACACTAAAAACATTCCAAAGCAGACATGCTATCTGAAAATTAGATGATCAACAGCTATTTTCCCATCAAAGCACAAGCAAAGCATCTCCAACACAAAGTGGCTGCCATGTTTATTCAGGGCTTCAAATGCTTTCTTTGTTTGTTTCCTGAAGAAAACGGATGATGTGCAAGCTGAGAAAAAACTGACAGAGCCTGCAGGACAACCAGAGACAGAAGTAATAATCTTTTCATTAAGTTGCTGTATTTGCTTCATTAGAAATGTGACAAGAATTTAGATCAGAAGACAAAGTAATCAACAGTTTGGGAAACTGAGCATCAAATCAAGGTTAGGTTTCATAGTACAAGCTCCTGTTCTAACACAGCAGATACATTTAAAACAATCAAAAATGTTATATTCCCTACAACAGTGATTTAGATTTACAGTAACTGATTTTCTGACTAGTTTAACATTTCAAATACTGCATTAATCAGATTTTTGGTTCAGGCATTCCTGACCCTGCCCTTAATTGGCAATGAGGTAGGCCAGTTTGGAGTAAAATGTTCCAAATAATTCAGCTTGGGGAATATCCCCTGGATTGGAGTTATGACTTTAGTGACTAGGAGTGGGATATTTATTTTTCTCAGTTTATGACCAAAGTATTAAATCACAAAATCACAGAATCATTCAAGTTGGAAGGGATCTCTTAAGGTCATCTAGTTTAACCTTCTTCTGAAAGCAAGACCAAAGCTGAATTCAAACCAGATTGTTTAGATTCTTGTCCAGTCAGACCTTGAAAAACTCCAAGGATGGAGATTTCACAACCTCGCTGGTTAAGACATCCCAGTGCTTATCTTCACCATTAAATATTTTTTTCCTTATTCCAAGTTGCAGCTTCCCACATTTGAATTTATCACCATTTCCTCTACCCATCTTGGCAGAGCCTGCCTAGCTCTATTTTTCTGTAGGCACTGGACATCTGCTATGAGGTTCCCTCTAAGCCTTCTCTTCTCCAGATCGAGGTCAAGTTACACGATGTACACTGCATTCCTCTCATCCACTCTCTAGGTGTTTCATCACAGAAGAGAATCAGGTGGGTCAGGCATAATTTATATTTTGGTAAATCCATGTTGGCTATTCCCAATCACCTTGTTCACGTGCCCAGAAACAGCTGCCAAGAGCACTTGCACCATGATATTCCCAAAGACCAAAAGGCTGGCAAGCCTGGATCCATCCATCATCCTCCTTGTCTTTTTCCAGTAATCAGAGACTTCTCCTAGTGACACAGAACCTCTCATAGTGGCAGCCCATTCTCTCATCACTCCTGGACTCTGTGGTTTGAAGCTGCTCGTTGTTATAAATGACAACCCTTTTCTTCCAAGGCTTTTTAATGAGATGAAACTCCACATCTGTACTAAAGATCCAGCCATACCCCAACACATCCCAGTTACTTCAATGAGGTCAAATATAACACATGAAGCTCCAGCTCCTCCTCCTTGCTTCCCAGACTCCATGTATTTGCATATGGACAGTTGAGATGGACCCCTAAAATCAATTCAATTGTTGTGCTGGTCAACACAAGAGAGTCTGGTTTGGCTTATTTCTTTTACCACCTCCCATCTCTGAGGTGACTAAACTCACACTTCTTACAGATAAATAATGTTAAACTCTCAGGTGAGAGAAGAAAGTAAGTCTTGCTTGACTCCTTTTCAAGCAACACATAAGATGGACCATACAAGTATTTAATTCTCAAGTGTGTGTTTAAGAACTGAAGCCCCCCCCACGAAACCCTCCTCATATTTTGGAGCCTAAATATGAACCTGGACACCCTAAGAGCATTCCCATGTGAAAACTCCAACACGCATTTATTTATTTCTCTATTTCACTTTCTGTGAAACATGGATGCTACTGAACTAAAAGCAAAACTTACTCCAGAGGAGAAAAGCTTTGTTTCTGGGGGTGGGGTAGGTGGAAAATCTAACTAATCTCTTAAAAGGGTGATATATTTAACCTTTTCTCTTCCTCAAAGAAAAGCAGTCTCACCAAAATCCCAAAGTCAAAATCACCAAAAATTAACCTTT